GGAGGCAGAGGTTGCGGTGAGCCGAGATTGTGCCATTGCACTCCAGTCGGTAACAAGAGCGAAACTCCGTCTCAAAAAAAAAAAAAAAATTATTACAACAATTGCAATTATGTGGCAGTCTGCCTATTTTAAGAATAGAAAAGAATACATAGTAATGACAATTGTATTAAGGCTGTGAGTAAATCCATATTAATTTCTTTTTTGTTGTTGTTTTGTTTTTGAGACAGCCTCACTCTGTTGCCCAGGCTGGAGTGCAGTGGCGCAATCTAAATTCCTATTCCATTAGTATATCTTAGAGTTAGAGGCAGTCAGAGAAATTACAACATCAAATTGTGACAATTTGAGCATTTATAGAGAGCATTTGGTTCTGAGATTAACTAAATGCAGCAGCTAAGTAACATGTCTCAGACACCTCAACCACAGTGGTCTTTTGTTTCCTCAATACTGACTCACAGGCAGGGCACCTTGTCACCTAGGGCCCTCTTAGTCATGTACTTTGCCTGAAATGTGCCTACCCTTGATCTTTACTGTCTTGTAAATAGCCCTTAAGTGTCACTGCTCTGTCTACCTAATTTAAAGTGGATACTCAATTGCCCTTCTGTCATACCAAGCTATTTTCATTCTCTGCATGGGTCTCTGACATTTAAAAAGTATATGTCTTCATTCCAGAAGCTTTGTAGAAAGTGTTTGAGACCAGCCTGGCCAACATGGTGAAACCCCATCTCTTTTGAAAATACAAAAATTAGCCAGGCATGGTGGGGCATGCCTATAATCCCAACTACTCTTCCGGAGGCTGAGGCAGGAAAATCACTTGAACCCAGGAGCTGGAGGTTGCAGTGAGCTGACATTGTGCCACTGCACTCCAGCCTGGGTGACAGAATAAGACTCCATCTCAAAAAAAAAAAAAAAAAGTAAGCCAGGTAATGGTGGCTCACACCTATAATCCCAGCATTTTGGGAGGCTGAGGCTGGTGGATCCCTTGACCCCAGGAGTTCAAGACCAGCCTGGGTAACTTAGCAAAACCCTGTCTCTACAAAAATAAAAAAAAATAAAAAATTGCCGGTCTGGTGATGTGCACCTGTAGTCCAGCTACTCAGGAGGCTGAGGTAAGAGGATCGCTTGAGTCAAGGAGGCAGAGATTGCTGTGAGCCAAGATCATGCTAGTGCATTCTACCCTGGGCAATAGAGCAAGACCCTATCTTAAATAAATAATAATAATGTGTAATTTTAGTAAGAGTTTTTGGCTTGACTCCTTAGAAGGGGGTTAAGATATACCCCATATTTGTAAATTAAGATCTGGCTGGGCACAGTGGCTCATGCCTGTATGTAATTCCAGCATTTTGGGAGGCTGAGGTGGGCAGATTGCTAGAGCTCAGGAGTTCAAGACCAGCCTGGGGAACATTGAGAGACCCAATCTCTATTTCATTAAAATTAATTTTTAAAAATATCTGTTTTCTTCACTGGGCTTAGTGGCACATGCCTGTAATCTCAGCACTTTGGGAGGCAGAGGCCAGCAAATCGTTTGAGCGCAGGAGTTCAATACCAGCCTAGGCAATATGATAAAATCCCATTTCTACAAAAAATAAAAAAATGTGGCAGGCACCTTTTGTCCCAGCTACTTGGGAGGCTGAGGCGGGAGGATTGCTTTGAGCTGTGATTGTGCCACTCATCGCCAGCCTGAGTAACAAAGTGAGACTCTGTCTCACAAAAACAAAAACAAAAACAATCTGTTTTCCCATTCTAATTCAAACAAGACTTTTTTGTTGTGTTTTTGTTTTGAGACAAGGTCTAGCCCCACCAGGCCTAGCTAATTTTCTATTTTTTTGTAGTAATGAGAGTTTCGCCATGTTTCTCAGGCTGATCTCAAACTCCTAGGCTCAAGCAATCCTCCTACCTCAGCTTCCCAAAGTGCTGGGATTACAGCCATGAGCCACTGTGCCCGGCTCCAAACAGGACTACTTTTAGTGGTATACACCAAAGCAAGCCTGATCATCTTGGAGAATAATTTACAAAATGATTCATTTAGTTGTTACTTCCAATAATTGTTCAGTTGAGGTCATAATTTGTATGGCACAGTAATAAAAGCTAACATTTCTTGAGTGGTTACTGCATTTCCCATTTGTTATCCATGTTAATTCTTACTAGTACTCTTAGATATACGTGATATTATATTCCCCTTTTACTAGAGGAGGAAACTGAAGCTTAGAGGTGTTCAATTACTTGCCCAAGGTCTTGAAACTCAGAAAGTTGCAGAACCAGACTTTAAATCTAGGCCTGTCACTTCAGCAGAGCCACGCTGAATCAGCTAAAGACTACTGCACAATAGTTGCCATCCCAAACAATGGCAAGTTTGTGTTACTACTTTAATGGACAGGGTGTAGTTAATAATGAGACTAAACTGGAAAGTTATATGCCCTGCATTCTCTTTACTATTTATTCATCTCTATTTTAAGGTTTATGAGATTTTCATTTTTAAACATCCCAAAAGGCTTTAGTATAGGCTATATGCTCATAAAAGGATGGCTTATAATGTAGATAGATGGGCCTTTTCATTTTTAATTTTCTCTTTAAAATTGATAATCAGGCCGGGCGTGGTGGCTTACGCCCATAATCCTAGCACTTTGGGAGGCCGAGGTGGGTGGATCACCTGAGGTCGGAGCCTGGCCATCATGGTGAAACCCCATCTTTAAAAAATTTAAAAAAAAAAACAATAAAATAAAATTGATAATCACATGATTCTAAAATTATATAGAAAAACATTGAAAAATTTAGCTCCTATTTGTGTCACTCTTCTCTACTCCCCCATCATAACTTCACTCCTGTGGTAACTCCTTTTATTAGTTTCTTTTTAAAAAAAAAATAGAGACAGGGTTTCTCCATGTTAGTCAGACTGGTCTCGAACTCCTGACCTCAGATGATCCTCCCGCCTCGGCCTCTCAAAGTGCTGGGATTACAGGCGTGAGCCACCGCACTCAGCCTTTAGTTTCTTATCTAGCCAATGACTGATTCTTTCTGCTCCCTTGTAGAAAATGCATCTCTGAAAATAGAATCTTTTTTTTTCCTTTATCTGCTTCTGATTTTCAATGAGAAGAAAAATCTCTTTAACAAAGGTTTACTCTTAGTTCTCTACAATTTAGCACTTTTCCTTTGGGATGCCTAATTATATACTGGCAGCAAGAATTTGTGTCACAGGTGACTTTTTTTAAATTATTGAAATGGGTGGTCCAGGCACGGTGGCTCATTACTGTAATCCTAATACTTTGGGAGGCCGAGGCGGGCGGATCACGAGGTCAGGAGATCAAGACCATCCTGG